ACAAAACCATATTTGATTAATAATTAGTGAAAATAAAAAAGCCAATTTACATGATTTCTCGAAATAAAATTGAGTAATCTATCATTAATCTCTCTGGATAATTATTTCAACATTTATTATAAACCGAATAGTACAATGTGATTTTAATATTAATTAAGTATAGTTGATTCCGTTATTGTTGTACCTACCTTTGTTTGTAAAACTATAAAGGAGATTAAAAAACTTATCATTAAACAAAAATGTGTAAATTTGAAAAATGCACACCCTACTCATTTCTCTTTTGAAACAATTTCCTGTTCATATTGTACTACAGGCGACCCCCATGGCCATGGTAAGCTAAACCACTGGCGCGCAGCCGTCTCCTAGCAACTTAGCATTGTGCACGTTTTTCAGCCACCATTGACTAGAATTTCTAACAGTAACGAAGCCATTGGGTACATTTGAATTTGCCGCTCATTCGTATTTGTGCTTTTCTGTAGGTCATATATAAAAGTATGGGTAGTATACCTACCATCCCTTTGATTGTCATAAGGGTCCTTGACATGAGCATCATTATAGATCACAGAATGGAAAGTTTTGTTTGGGTGCTCCTTGGAAGGAAAATAATGACGTGCTTTTTCTACATAATATGATCCTGTTGGCGATACAATTTTACCTTCAAATACTCCATCTATGAGCGACCCATATACAGTACTCTCTGGTTCATCTAAAAAAGATAACTAAATTAGACCAATAGTCAATGTAGGTGGCCGTAGATAATAGTAACTGGGAATGACATTTTAAGATTTAATTTAGCCTCTAGTCGAGCAAAAGAGATACGATTTTACCACATAAATGATGAAATTTCCTCGAAACTAGCGCGCTTGCGGTTAGCTGACACGCTAATTGGTTCATTTCTGGTTGATTTATTTTATTTTTATTTTGCCTTTACTTTTGGGTGGGCGGGGTTTCAGCCACTTCACCATTATTTCACAAACTATGGATAATGCGTAACCTGATAATGAAATAATCACATATGCCGACAACTAGGCCATGAATTATTCATGGGAAGAAGGTTAAACAAGTAAAAAAAAACTCGTGGGTATTACCAGTGCAGTAATCATTTAGAAAAAAATAGACAAATACCACCCGCACACCTGCGCATGCGCGTTCTGCCCCAAATGTTTGAGGGTCATTCTTCACTCCAAGGCAATACGCAACAAATACAACAAAATTGAGCATTTTTCCAAACAAATTGAGTTCATAAATGACAATTTTGACATCTTTTTATGTTGTTTCAATGGAACAAATTTTCTTTGAACACCAGATTCTGAATCCCACCGACACAAACTGTCAGCTATTTATTGATTTGCTGCACAGTAGCTAACGTTAAAGCCTCCTAAAAAAGCAAGCACTGTATCATGACATCATACAAAATTTTAGTCTTTTAGTCTCTAGCAGCAATCGAATTCATCTTTCCACCATGGTCGTGGTGTCTGACGGTTGGTTTTGGGTGATATGCACTATAAACTATCATATCACTCATATAAATTTCAAGTTGCATACTCTTAAGATTAATTTTCCATTTTTTCCGACAACTTCGCACGCGTGACTGACGCACATTCCACCACCAAATCAGCGTCTGACGAATACTATATATTATCAAATATGGTATATCCTATTCAAAAATAATCATCGTGCATACTATAAGTTTTTTTGCAACTTTTTTTGGCATGTTCCTCGACCTCCCTCACATCTACCCACAGCGGTCGCGCGGTCTGACGCTTGGATTAATATTAGGTGGTATGGATACTATCATAACAAATAAATATCATCGTGCATACTAGGGTACGTTGAAAAGTGACACTACCTCCCGGACTATGAGCCTAGTCAAGGGAGTTACAAAATGATCTTTGTTTCGAGTGTTATATGAATGCCAGGTGAAATATTAATATTCTCAATCCTTGGTGCCAAAGCATTCTATAGTATTGATGAGTATTTGAACTACAAGTTTGATGGCTCCGAACAATAAAGTGGCAATTGTACTTCCTTACTGTGACGTGTGGAAATATTTACTGTATAAACACCACCAATAAATATTATTATTATTATTATGTTCATTTAGTAATATCATTCTATATACCTTGCCGGTACGTCTATACAATGGTAATATGTATAAATGTTTATATACCTACATGAAAATTATTCCCAGTAGAACCCAATAGAGTTTTACATGAATTAGTTTAGTGTTGATGAAAATGAAATACTTATGTAACTGGGACTGTGATGTCCGAATAATAATATAGCAATATGAGTGGCGTTTATTTCATGTAAACAAAAATAAATACTACTATAATATTCCACAATAATAACCCGAAAGATACTGAAATCGCCTGAACCACAGAATCTGAAATGGACTTCGCATGTTTACCACCAAGAAAATTTTATGAATAGGGAAAATACCCTAAACCACACTTCTGTTAGGTACCTAAACGCGCTCTTAACTCGGTAATATACGATCTTATAAAAGCCGTTATTTATATCCTGCCAATAGGTAGGTATCTTCAAATTGACCTCAGTCCGACCAACCTCTCCAATTGTCTCCTTTAAGTCCAGAGAAAAAAAGCCTACCAAACTCAAATTGAAAATTACCAAATAAATCTAACCTTTCACCTAACTTCCCCAATCAAAATTATACACACCAAAATATTAATTAAAGATATTCTGACCTTTTCCTCAATAGGCAGCGAACCAAACTCTTTTCGTGAGATGTTGGAAGTCGAGATGTCGTTATTGTATTGAGATGATGTGTCGTAACCCCTTTCGACTTAATCTTTATCCGTCACGGAGGGTCTGGATTTACCCCATTCACTTACAATGATGACAAATTTGATCAGGTTGGATTTTATAGTCTTTACTTAAAACTAGAGATGTAACGGAGCTTTGGTTCCGATTCCGAAAGAGCAGAACTTCCGATTGATTTTACACTTTCGATTCCGATTTCAGTTCCGACAAATTTTAATCGGATGTTATATCAGAGGTTGATGGACAGGGTCGGTGCGGCCACAATCATTACGTTCGCGTACAAATAAGTATATACTTGTAGGGCTGGGAACCTTCCTCACCTCGTGCCTTCTGTTGACTACATTTTCACTTGTTGTTGTGTTCCTTATGTATAATTTGCTTCTTTTCGAGTCACTTTATTTGATCTATTTACATATTAGTATTGTTTAAGATGTGACATGTCTCTTCTTTACGGTTTCGATTCCGGTTCCGATTCCGATTTCGGTTCCGATATAACAACTTCCGTTACATCCCTACTTAAAACCCTGCAATTAATACCCCCCCATTGTAAAGCCTATCGAAATAGCT